ACCAAACACTTGGTATGGAGGGCACATGTTATAAAATATTATATTATCATTAGTAAAAAATAAGTAATGGCAAGCGGTTCAAACCCCCTAATGGGAAGCGGTTCTGAACCGCATGCCTTTAGGGGGCTTGCAAATTGGTCTTTAAAATGGCAAGCGGTTCAGAACCAAAACCGCTGGACATTAGTTAAAAGGCAAGCGGTTCACGCCAAAACCGCTTGCCATTTCACTTCCCTTTTTTTTTATTCATTAAATGGGAAGCGGATTTTGTAAACCGCTTGCCTATTATGGCTTCCCATCACATTTATTCTACTAGTGTATATTATATACATATACTTTTTTATATTATAAAAAATATTACTTCCTCCGTTCTTTTATTATTGCACCACTTGCCTTTTTAGGAAGTTTCACAAATATTGCACCATTTCCTTTTTAGGAAAAAAATTATTTGTGTTCACACTACAAATACCCAACATACCCTTAATTTTTCACACTTACTTTTTAGTTTATCAATATGTCACATAGACAATTTTGTATTTTTACCTTTCTCTCTCTTACTTTTTTCCACTACCAAAATATTTGCACCCAACCCCTATGGTGCAATAATAAAAAAACGGAGGAAATATATAGTTAAAAGTATTATTATGTATAAAACAACATAAATTATTGCACATGATTGTTGTATATTTAGTATAGTACATGAGCAATGCACGATTTTTAAATCAAAATGTTAGTTTTTATAAAAAAAATTCATAAGTAATAGCATTGTTAATACGAATATTACAATTTAAAACACGAGTAATAATTATAATACAGTTTATATCTATTCCTCTTCCGTCAAATGTCTAATTCAATTTAAATTTTATTCTTCTTGTTTTGATTGGTTATTGGTTCATTTTTTTTTTATGCAAGAAAAACAAAAGGTCATTGTAAAAGACATTGTATAGAAAATGAAAGGCCGATTAAAATTAAATTTATGTTCACGATTATGTATGTTTTTCCAAGACAACATTTCGGCTCAGCATTCAGTATTTGTCAAGGAGTACAACAAACGATAAAAGTAATTTTTACACTATTTTGTATCTTTATCAAAAACTTTTGTATTCATCCGGTTACTTGAATTGAATTTAGAATAACTTGTAGACTATTTTAGGTAACTTTTATCAATAAAGCATAAATAACTTTCATTCATTACATGGTAGCTTTTATAATAGGTGCACAATATTTTATTGTACATCTGATTTTTTTTAAATGTTTGTATTGATTTCATAATTGACATCAAACTAAATTCTTATCGATTTTATTTAATTTTCATAAAAAAAAAACAATATTAGCCTTTCAAAATACGAAATATTTGTTTCCTTAATTATGCCACTTTAATCATATTGCTTCAAATTAGTTATTATTCTTTAATTTGACTATAAATAAAGATTGGAAAGACTATATGGATTATTTGTAGTATTGGAAAGTATATATTTATTATAAAAAAATTAAATCAATATTTATGTTAGAAAATCATGAAAATCTTATGCATGTATAGAAACTTGCTTTTATTGTTCGAAGTTTAACAAAAATAACTATGCTTGAATATGTAAACAGTAATTATATAGATATATTTAATACTTAAGATAAGCCAATGAGAGAGTGACATTTGTCATCCTCACATTGAGATGCTTGTCTTTTAGTATAATATATAGATAGATAGATAGATAGATAGATAGATAGATAGATAGATAGATAGATAGATGCTTCTTATTTAGTGGATTACATGATTGTATAGTAAGTGGCCGAAGGTTGTGAGAAGAATATTAATTATTAGGCCCAACTTTATAAGCCCATAAATTTCGGTCCATGCATGAAGCTCGGTCCATGTTTAGATAGCTCAGCCAGAAATAGTAAGGCTGGGTTCGAGCCCAAGACCATATGTTCGTTACCCAATGGACCTGATTTCCAACATTTCATTGAAATTTGAAACCTCTCAGCCTAGAAGGCTTTTTGGCCCAATGTTAAAAAGAATTGTACCTAATCTAATTGACCTTTTTTTTTTCCTTTCTTTTTAACATTGGGCCAAAAGACCTTGTTAACTTGTTGTCTACCACAAATTCGATCGTTGTTGATAAAAGTTTAATTTACTCATACAAATTTTTTTTTGAGGGGAACACCAAGCTTTTCAATTAATCAAGGTATAAATTGTCCTATAGTAGAAATGGCAAAATTTTTTACAGAGCATGATTCGTTAACTTAAATAAACTTATTATAATCCCTCAATTAAAAATAATTTACTTATTTTATTTACATAACACTTATTTTCATGAGCTTGTCAAACACTGAATTTTTCTATCGTCAAATAAAGTGAGCATAACAAAGACTTAAATATAATATTCCCTCAATAAATTTGATTTCTACTCTAATTTATTGTAATTAGTTAACTTAAGTGTTTTTTTTTATTTTTTATTATTATTTTTTAAAAAACCATATCAACATTATATCCTACCCTAGCTAAGGGCACTCTAATAAAAATTTACTCTTTAATTCTCTCATCCTAAAAGTGAATAAATAAATGCGGGATTCCCTTCTCAAGCTCTCCTTAATTTACATTGCTTTAGTAATTGAGTAGAAATTATAAAAATAAAAGAAAAAGAAATGCTGATAAATGATAGTTTTTGTACATTTATAATCTTATGCTTAAAATTGACGAATGCACAATTTCATTTTTCATTAATTTTTCCCTTCTCTAATTTTCATTAAAATATCTTTATTTTTTTAAAAAGAAGAATATGTGAGTTAGTAAGTTACTTCCTAAAAATAATCATGATTAAGTGCATGGAGAAAAGTACACAAAGACAAAGATAATAAAAATAAAAAAAGAGTGGAATCTAAAATAGATAATTTAGCATAATAGAGGAAATTAATCATCTTATAAATGATGAAAAAAAGGAAGGTGGTGTAGCATAATCCCATGTGGGGCAACTAATTCTCACAAGCTTGGATTCTCAAAACATGGGCACAATTACAATTTTACACAAATCACAAAGATTTCATAAAGTTTAATGCCAAAATCAAATAATCATACAATTAATTGAATAATTATTGTAACAAATAAAAAATTAAGAAGAAAAGGGTAAAAGGGTAATTTAATGGGGTGTCCCACAAATAATGGGACAGTACAGTAGTCCTTTTATCTTTGCAATGTTGCCTGGGAAGCTGCCCTTCTTCACATGGTCTCCAGCAATTTCCAACTTTTTCATTCAAGTCCCTTAAATGATTGCTCTTATAATTATATATTGAATCTCTTTTTTATTTTATTTTCATTATTTTTAATTATATTTTTATTTATTTGGAAATGCACCGTTTAAATTATTTTTGGAATTTCTGTTGTATAGAAAATAATAATATGTACTGAAGTTGATTAAAGACAGAGAAGTGCATGTGAGCTATCAGTGAAAAGGTATTGGGGGTTCAATGGGCAAGGAATGGAACTCCGCAGTAGAACATACCATGAATCTATGATTGAGAAAATATATATTCCTTCCTTGTTTTTGATTAATTTCATTTTTTTATTTAGATTTTTGAATGAGTATATCAAAGTATGCCAATAAATTAAATGTTGTGAATTTGTGATTATCTTCGATATTATGTTAACACCAATTCATCTATAAATGTTGTGTTAAGGTGACATGTGTAACAAAATTATCCCTAAGACGGGTTAATAGTGCCTACTTACAATAACTTTAGATAATGCTTATTGAATCACCTTATAATGTTTACTCAGTTATAACTTATAAGTAAGATCTAATATCAAATCTCATCTATATTATTGCCTTTTATAACTCTATTGACACCAAAAAAATAAAACAAAATTTGTTTGTATTGTTTCATATACTATTAGATGAAATGAAAAGATGCAAAATAATTGCACTTTATCTCCAAATTTACACAACATTTTAACCGAAAAAAAAAGGAATTTAACTTGCATTGCTAATCTTTTTCATCAAAATGGTGTTATGTTCTTCAAAATGTGGTTTTTTTTAAAAAAAAATTTTACATCATAATTTAATGTATTTTTTTTACCTATAATAAGCAAGTAAATTTTTATTTTTTTTTTTTTGGAAAAACTATGAAACTAACTTAAAATTCAGAAGTAATTCCTATTCTTATCAAGTCTGAGAATTTGGCACAGGTAAAATTATAGATGTCGGACGTTAATAGGCAACTTTTTGCCACCTGATAAGGTGCAAAGATTCTTGATTTAGAATGCAATTTTCTTTAGGCAAAATTAAGGTCAGACGACAAATTTGGGAAAAAATACAATTTTAAACCAACTGTTATTCATTTTTTGCAAACCAAATATTACAAAAAGACCATATTTTGTGCATATCCTTATACCAAACTTTATAGTGGGGTTATCAAATTTTGTGGGGCTTTTAGTTGCATAAATAGCAAACATCCATATCAAAAATTCTATTAGAAAATGACATTTCTGATCTTAAATCAAATTGAAAATGATTTTTCATTCAATTTCAATAGTCAAGACTTGTCTAGTATGGGATCGGAGTTGTTGATGATGATAGGTTATTGGTCTAGGATAGATACCGGTGAACTCGTAAGGTGAACTTCAAGTCTTGGAAGGGTCCTTAAGATGGAGCCTCCGAAATTCAAGTTAGTTGTCATATACCGACATACCGCAAAAGAAATAGAGAGGAATAATCATATTTGTGACTCGTGAGCCTATAAATAGTGACTTAAGGTAAGAACTATTGAAAATCTAATGCATTTGTAAATAATGCAATGTCATTACTGAATAACTATAGAAGGCAAAGGTGTTACTTGCCGAAATTTTAGGATAAGATGTGTATTGTATGGTAAGTCAGTAAGATAAGACTATAAGAGTAACATTATATGAAATATAAGATGATTTTTATGTGTGATCTTTATGACTATATAAAGGTGACATAGGGATAAAAAATAATTGTAATTTATCATATAAATAATATGATAATTAGCATGTTTTATTGCTCTAATTCTCTAACCAATAATCTTAGTTATTGTGTGCAACAACTATCAAGTACAAAACTTACAGCTTTTAAGAAGAAAAAATTGCACAAAACAAATAACATCACCAAAAAAAAAAAAGTTAATCCATGTATTTAATCAACTAGAGGCAAAAGACTATAATTAATATCATAATTAAAATTAGAAAAATAATTTGGGTTGACCATGATCCTAATCATGCAAACTAGAAGCATGTCAGTAAATGACCACAAAACACATTCTCTCCATGTTTTAATGTCGGAATATAACTCCAAAAAACTTTTACATTCATAACATTACTTGGCTGTTTTAGATTCCCAAGACCTCACGAATTAACTTAATTTAATCATCTCACTAATCAATTAATTTACTCACTAATCAATCATTTTAATCTAACTTTATTTCTTTCTTATAGAATAAGAACCTGCCACTTTTCTTCCCTAATCTCTGATCATCATAACCTCCAAAACACCCCCCATTTTATCCAAAAAAATCACACAAAAATGTCTTCATAACAAGAAAAATTTAAAGGGAAGAAAGATTTGATTGAGCAAAATGCAAATGAAGAACAAAGTTTTCATCTTTTTGTGTTTTTGTTCATTTTGTGTTTCTCTTGTTTTAGCAACACCAAATGATGAACTCTTAACTTTGTTATCAATGAAGGACTCCTTCATTGATCCCTTGAATCAGCTCAAAGATTGGACTAACACCACTAAAAACCCGGCTTCGCATTGCGAATGGAAAGGTGTTTGGTGCAACTCTCAAGGTTTTGTAGATAAACTTGATCTTTCCAACATGAACATAAGTGGGAAGATACCAGATAACATACAAAACCTTAAGAGTTTGACAGTTCTTAATCTTTGTTGCAATGCATTTGCTTCATCTTTGCCTAAATCCCTTTCTAATCTCACCACATTAGTAAGCCTTGATCTTAGCCAAAATGACTTCATTGGTAGGTTTCCTGCAGGTTTCAGTGAAGCAAAAGGACTAGTTACACTCAATGCTTCTAGTAACAACTTTGAGGGTAACTTACCTGATGATCTAGGCTTTTGTAACTCCCTCGAAGTGCTTGACTTTCGAGGGAGTTTCTTCGAGGGATCGATCCCTACTTCCTTTCGAAACCTTCAGAATCTGAAGTTTTTAGGCCTGTCAGGAAATAATCTTACAGGGGAACTTCCTCCTGAACTTGGTTCTCTGTCATCTTTAGAGACTATGATTCTTGGGTATAATGAGTTTAATGGTTCTATACCTTCAGAATTCGGAAACTTGAGTAATCTGCAGTACTTAGACTTAGCTGTTGGAAGTTTAAGTGGGAAAATTCCTGCACAACTTGGGATGTTACAGAAGCTTGACACAGTTTATCTGTACATGAATGAGTTTGAGGGGGCTCTTCCATGGGAATTGGGAAACATTTCGTCGTTGCTGTTCTTTGATGTTTCGGATAATCGAATTTCAGGGGAAATTCCAAAGAGTTTTGGGAGGTTGAAGAATCTGCAGCTTCTGAACTTGATGTGCAACAAGCTGACAGGTGAAGTACCAAGTGAGATTGGTAATTTAACCAACTTACAAGCTCTTTCATTGTGGAAAAACTCTCTGACAGGTCATTTGCCTGTGAATTTAGGTAAAAATTCCCCTATGAAATTTCTTGATGTTTCATCAAATTCTTTGTCAGGTGAAATTCCTCCCAATCTTTGTGATTCTGGCAATCTCACAAAACTTATACTCTTTAACAATTCTTTCTCTGGTCCTATACCTTTAAGCCTTTCGAAATGTGCATCATTAGTCAGAGTCAGAATACAGAACAACCAGTTTTCTGGTAGTATTCCTGCTGGTTTAGGTACCTTACCTAACCTTGAGAGGCTAGAGTTAGGAAACAACAATCTAACCGGAGCAATCCCGGATGATCTTTCCCTCTCATTGTCGCTTTCCTTCATCGACGTGTCATACAACAATCTCTATTCATCTCTTCCTTCAGGGATTCTCTCCATTCAAAACTTACAGAATTTTATAGCTTCTAAGAACAACTTAGACGGTCATATTCCTAACCAGTTGCAAAATTGCCCTTCCCTTGCTGTCCTTGATCTTTCCTACAATCATATCTCCGGCGTAATCCCAAAAAGTATTGCTTCATGTGAAAAGCTAGTCATTTTGAACCTTAAGGAAAACCAACTCTCAGGTGAAATTCCACACACAGTTGCAGGAATGCCCACTTTATCCAAACTTGACCTTTCTAACAATTCTTTAACTGGTCAAATACCTGAAAACTTTGGGAACTCACCTGCTTTGGAAATGTTCAATTTGTCCTACAACAAACTTGTAGGTCCTGTACCCACAAATGACATGTTTTCTGTTATAAACCCGAATGAAGTCAGAGGCAATGCCGGTCTTTGTGGTGGCGTACTTCCCCCATGTTCTAGGAGCAATGAAAAATATTCAGGTCGGCCTAAACATAAGCACATTAATCATGTAATCATAGGATTTGTAGTAGGAATATCGGCCATTCTAGCAGTCGGGCTTGCATTTTTTGCAGGAAGGATGGTGTATAGAAGATGGTATTTGTATAGCAGTAGAGTAGAAGAGTGGTTTACAAGCACCAACAAAGAATGGCCTTGGAGACTAGTAGCATTCCAAAGGCTGAACTTCACTTCTCCTGACATATTAGCATGCTTGAAGGAATCAAATGTGATCGGAATGGGTGGAACCGGGATAGTTTACAAGGCCGAGATCCAAAGGCCACACTCAATCATAGCAGTGAAGAAGTTGTGGAGATCAGCAGGTGACCCTGAAGCAGGAGAAAACTTGCTAGCTGAGGTTGAACTACTAGGAAGATTGAGGCATAGGAACATAGTTAGATTGATAGGCTACTTGCATAATGAGAATGATGTGATGATGGTTTACGAGTACATGCCTAATGGGAACTTGGGAACAGCATTGCACGGTAGTAAACAAAGTCCGAAGAACAACATGCTAGTCGATTGGGTGTCTAGGTATAATATAGCACTAGGAGTAGCTCAAGGCCTGTCCTATCTCCACCATGATTGTCATCCTTCAGTGATCCATCGCGATGTCAAGTCAAACAACATCTTGCTAGATGAGAACTTTGATGCTCGAATTGCTGATTTTGGGCTTGCAAAGATGATGCTTCACAAGGATGAGACAATCTCCATGGTTGCGGGATCTTATGGATATATAGCACCTGGTGAGTATTCATATCCATTTTCTGCTTGCCTGTTTAATCTTGCTTATATAATTATATTAGTCAGTATCATTTTGATTTTATGCATAATTACTATTTATATTATGAACATCCACAGAAAAACTTAGGCACATGAAAACCAAAAACCAGGAAATTTAGAAGTGACAATGCCCAAATAGACTGTCCTGAGTAACTTTGCAAAATTTGTCCCAAACTTAATAAAAAATGTGAAATGATAATTGTGCAAAGATGTTTCTAACAATATAACCCCTCCCAACAAGATCAATTGATTTAGAATCGACATTATAAAATCCAATCATGAACAATTACAGTTTAGAAAATGTGACAACTTTTTCCGGACATCCTATAATAGTATTGTGACCCTACCAAATTCAAATAGAAGAAGTACATAATGGATACAAATATGGAGTGCATTAATTGATCATTTACATCTATAGTTGAACTTAAATTCTTGAGATGCATTAAACATGTTTTCTTCGGCTAGAAACTGAGTCTATGAAGTTTTCTGTCACAGAATATGGTTACAGCTTAAAAGTTGATGAGAAGAGCGACATCTACAGTTATGGAGTCGTGCTCCTAGAGCTCGTTACAGGGAAAAAGCCATTGGATCCAATTTTTGGAGAATCAATCGACTCAGTTGGGTGGGTGCGAGAAAAGATTAGAAAGAACGGAGGATTAGAGGAAGTACTTGATCCCGAAGTATCAGGCCAATGCAAGTACATACAGGAAGAGATGTTACTGGTCTTGAGGATCGCCCTTCTTTGCACAGCTAAACTTCCAAAGGAGAGGCCTTCCATGAGAGATGTTATATCAATGCTCAAAGAAGCGAAGCCTCGGAGAAAGAGCATTTGCAACAATAATGGATATCAAGAGTATCAACCTAACATTGACAAACCAGTCTTTAGCACATCCCCAGTTACAGGCCTGTTGTAGAGAATTTCATGTATTTACCAGCATTGCCTGTAATTCTTCCACCACCCTTTATTTTTCTCGTGTAGATTCCCACTTTTCTATTTCTGCTTCCATTTTTTTTTCTTAATATAAACTTCTAGCACAGATATAGTTGAAAAGATTATTAGACTACACTTGGTAGTCGTTTATAACTTATGTATATTGAGATCTGTATTATAAGATTAGGCAGGAGCTTCTTTATCAAGCTCCACCATTTCTTACTTTGTCACGTATTAACACTATGTCACTATGTTTGGATAACACTAGTGAAGGGAAAGGGAGGGGAAGGAAAAAGAGAGGGGAAAGAGAGGTGAGGAGAGGGAGGAGGTGACCTTCCATTTGCCCTTCAAAATCTCTCTAACAATGGAAGAATTTGGTTTATTAAAAGAGGAAGGAAATTAGATCCTCCCAATTCCCTTATCTTCCCTCCTTTCATTAGGTATCCAAACAAAGGATGATGCATCTTTTCTTTTCTCTTCTCCTCCTTTTTCCTCCATCACTCTATTAAAACATAGAGTAAAACAGAAAGCCAGACTTAAAGAATAACAGGTCAAAGAGACAACAATCGATCATCAATGCAGACGAGAGAATAATATTAAGAACAAAAAAATAGATTATACTCATTTTCCCTTGCATTTTACCTTTTACTTTCAAGACCAAAATTTTACAAGCATGAGCTTAACTGCTTACAAAATCTCGAGTTCAAAACAGCTCAGGCTAATTTCTGTACACAATTGTGGGGTGAGAAAAAAGAAAAACCGGCAGCTTCTTACATTTTATGCTCTGTATGTACAAATGATCTCCAATCATGTGCAAAAAACATTGTATAAGCGAGTGTAGCGGACTTCCAGCAATTTCTCTTTCCCACTCAAAAAGTCAAAATCATCCTCCTGGATGAAAGAGAGGCATTCAGCTGTGTCCTAAAGTGGTAAACTGCATACCTTTGACAATCTCTAAGTTGCTGCACCTAGAAGAGCAGTTTCTGATGCACTGCCATCATCATCGAGATACCTAATAGACAAGGACTGCAGAAACAAATAGAGCACCAAACTATCAATTCTAAGAATAGGTAGGCTAATATGAGGAAATTTTTCTTAGTTGTAACAGTATTACCTCACTCTCATAAACTCTTGACAGGGAGAAAGGCTCAATCTCTCGAAGTCCACCATTACTTTCAAGAATTCTGTCCAAATCCTATTCAAAGAAACAGAAAATACGAAAACCGTCAAGAAAGCTTGATTAAATAGTGAAGAGAGATAGTGTCACTTCTAAAATATAGGGGTAGCTAAAAACGCAGCCAATTTTCCTAATTCATCCAGCTAAGTTAACTAAATTCTTTAAATCTAGAACAGGGTGATAAAAAAAGGTGCTCCCTCCATTTCGGAACAATTGGTAAGCTCCCTAGGGCACATAGTTTAAGAAATAATGACTATTCATATTTACTAAGCTGTATTTTGGTTTTCTTCTTCTCTGCGAGTTCTTAGTGAAACAAGCTATCATTTCAATAGCAGAACAGGTCATACCTTTCCTGTCAAGATTTCAAAATCAAGCAATTCATCAACAATTTTTTCCAGCACTGGTCGATTTTTCAGTAGCATATCTTTAGCTTTGTCATATGCAAGAGAGTACATCTGCCAAAGAAAGGCAAGGTTTCAGTTTCTGAACCATAAATGATGCCTCAACAAATTTATGAAAGCCTTAGAAGAAGTGCCCAATATATTTGAAAAGCTTAGTTGTGTATAAACCTTCTCAACTTTAGCTGCCATCTCAAATTCATGCTTGTTTCCCATGCTTAGAGCGGTAGCCTGTAAAAGATTTGAAATAGAGGATAATAGAAAGCAGTAGAACTAAAGATAACAGATTTTACAGAATTCAAAGTATAATTTAAAATTACATATAAAAAGGGATCCCAATAAACGAGCCAGATGGGTGAAGCATCAGTGCTGCTTATAATTTTACTCTTCTTTTCATGCATCAGCTGATGTAAATCTAGTTAAATCCCACAATGGTAAATCATATCTAAATTCTTCTACAAGTGCCCACAGTTTCACCCTAATGCTAAATGAGGGCCATACAAGTTTTCTTAATTGACCAATAATCAAATGGGAAGTGTATATATGGACAAAGGTAGTAAAAAAAAAAAAAAAAAAAAAAAAAAAAAAAAGAGGGGGGGGGGGTAGTAGAATAAAGAAAGTGGACACTTGTCAAAAGATCAAGAATGCAATTGGCGCTGTCAAGTGAGGTACCTACCAGTTCTCCCTCCTGATTTCCCACTAATGATATTTAAGGATCAAACAAGCATCAGTTTAACTTTACTGCCCGTAATTATGACACAATAATAGAGATAAAAAGATTGAGTATAAGAACAATACCGCATTTCCATGATAGTAAACTGTAGGACTGTCATCAGGCCCCCATCCATACTGAATCACCATCCTAGTAGCTATCTGTGGCAAATAACAATATACAAGGTTCACATCAAAGCATTACTATCTAATTGATTTAAGGTTGAGAAAAGATGAAAGAGAAGCAAAAGTGCAACGATGCAGTATTTTGTCATACACAAGATCTAGCATGTGAAGTCCCAACATATAACCCACCTCCTGTGCCTGCTTCAATTCTGAAGCAGACAGCAAATTTTCTTCCCCAAAAGGAAGTAGTAATTGTGCTGCAACATGTGATCCAAAGCAAAACACCAGCCTTTTTTCCAGATATGATATAGTTTCTACATTTTCGTTCATAGAACCTTCATTTTTTGCTTTAGTGATCTTGGTACATCCAATTCCCTGCACAGGTATCACAAAAATTACACTACTTGACCATAAAACTATGACTAGTACAGTCAAACAAGTTATTGGCCTGCCAATGTTAAGATGTAATCACCAATCACTAACAGCTACAGAAAGGGATCCCAATAAACGAGACAGATGGGTTAAGCAGACCTAACAGCCAATCTAACTACATATAGAGCAGCCTTCCTGAGCTTGGGCATGAAGAAAAAAAAAATTACCAACTACAAGATTACTTCACATGGTCATATCAATCCAGTATTCCTTTTTTTGTTTTTCTTTTCAGTAGACTTATAGCTCAGATTGTATAGCACAAGAGACAAATCTCAACAAAAGAACTGCCATTTATCATGATTGCCTAACATGTTCAGATCAATCCAGTTCTCCTCTCTTTTATTACTACTCCAAGTAGGAACATGACAAATATATCAGAAGATAAACCAGATTCTCAACGAAAAAGAGGGGAGAATGGATATGAGAAGGATAGCAAGACGAAGATAATCAAAGGGCATAATATCCCTCCTTTATAGAAAATTTCACATCCAATATGGCAAATTGACCTAGAAAAATAACAGAGCTCTGCTATCAAACTCAACCTTTCAATAGAATTAAAGGATGTAAGGATAAGCATTATTCAAAAGCATGCAGTTATATGGTAGGCTGATGGACGTATTACTGAGATGAGAAAATTTTGAAAAACAAACTCAATTGTATAACAATAGGAGAGCTCAGCAGTTTTATTCATAGAGACAAATGCGTCCAAGTCCTAATTTTCACCTTTGCTTTGATTATTCTTCTAACAGATTGCAGTTTGGCAAGTTTTTCATATTTTATGTAAAAAAATAAATCAACGAAAAAAGGTAAAAGGTTACAAATTACTAACCTCCCAGGCTAGGGGCTCAAGCCATAAATTATCAACAACGTCAAAATTCGGCAAAAGAAGAGCAATTAGACCACGACCAGCAGCCCATACAGCATGTGGAAACTTTGTCTCTCTTGTCCACTGTCAATATATGTAAGGCTTATATGATTGATCTAAAGTATCGTATATCTTTAGAAAAACAAGGTTGGACCACTGGATCAATTAGCAATACTAAGATCAACAAAACAAAGACACTATTTAAGTGCCAAATTATACCAAAATATACAATCAAAACTTGCCTGACATACGTAGTGGACAAATGGCTTTAAAAAAAAAAAAAAAAAAAGAGTTGATAGACTGAAAAATCTTACATCAAGTGGAGGAGTATATAATTCAATTCCATTGCTAATTTGACCATATGGTTCCATTTGATCAACAACATTCTGTAGATCCTCTCTTGTCAATGTCAGTCCCAGATGGTTCACAACCACACTGCTTATCTTTCTCGCGACTTTTGTTTTCCTTAACCAGTTAGGGATAGAAGCACTGAAAGTCTACATGTAAACCACAGGATCATAAATTATATGGTTATTATCATGAAAAGAGATAAAGTAGGCCTAAGGCTGAAATCCCACGTTAAGGATTTGACCTAGGTAAAAGCATTGTAGTTGAGAGATTAGTAAAATTGGCCACTTACTGCAAACCAACTACAGTAGCTCATCAGCTCATCAGTGTCAAGAAATTTACTCCTGAAAGCACTACCTTCCAGAGCCACAGGGACAAGTTTCAACTCAATAGGGCGCAGAAGGGATGTTTTTTCAGCTACCTAAAACAAGTTAGAACCAACTGTTTCAGAATTGACATAAGAATAAAATAGAGCTAGATATGTGATCACTGGAAGTACAATTTCCAACTCAAAACCATAAAGCAATAGTTATAGAAGGTAGGCTGCACTGCCTGAACAACTTGTTCAGTTGTTCGGCGATTTATCCACCAGGGTGGTAGATGAATGCAAGTGTATTAGAGTAGAGTCAGTAGACAAAGAATACATGCCTCTTTTAGTTCTTAATTGTTTTCCAGGTAAAAATAAATAAATGAATAAATAAATAAAAACCAGGGAAAACAACTAAAGATGGGTTCAAGTCATAATATATAATCACATATGCACTAATAAAAAAATTAACAGCACCAACAAGATCAGTATTCCAGTTAGAGAGGAATAATAGGAAAGCAATACAAGAAAAAAAAAATCTATGGCTCGCAAAAGATAGAACATGTAAATTTAGTGTTTCAGATCACCTTTTTCCAATCTACAAAATCAATAACATCAGGATCCATAGTTCCTTTTGCTGCAACACGCAATATCTTCTCTCTTTCTGTTTGAGTTGGACGCTGCAGATTAAATATTCTATCCATTCGACCAGGACGACATAAAGCTTGATCAATTTGCTTTAAATTTCTTGTAGTAGCCATCACAACCACACCATCTTGTTTTTCAAACCTGCAAGTATTTGGTTTATATCATATATTCAATTAGCTTATACGAGTGATTTAATATTATAAACACACGCTAAGAAATTGGTCATAGAAGGAAGAATACCCATCAAGTTCTACAAGCATTTGATTGATAAAAGCCTCGTGATCCTGCTTTTTTGTATGGATAAACTTTCCACGGACACCAGCAAAAAGATCAAAATCTTCCACAAATATTATCACAGGTGCCTAAGGATAGAATCACATAATATTATTAGTAACTCATAAAGACCTTCCCAACTTTTGGAGTGAAATAAACACATACAAAAGAGGAAAATTAACTATGGAGTATATGATGATTTTCTTTTAATAAGATGTAACTGAGATGTAATTGAGAAGATATATATCATGTATAGCCATGCCTTAACATGCTAGGGAATTTTTTTTCTTTCACCTTCAGCTTTCATGAGAAATACAAACAAAAAGAAAGCATCAAGATACTAAATAGCAATAAAACCAAATTTAGCAAGCAAAACTACTTAGGTTTACAATTAAAGTTTACAATTAACCAATTTTTTTCATTTATAGCTGATATTTTTAACAAATATGATACTTTCCCTTGGAAAGCCATTATGAAATTAGGAAGGATAGAAGAACATCCATCTACTTCTTCAGACCAAGGCCTCCAAGACTTGCTCTTATCCCCCATAATTATTTCTGAACTGACTGAGATTACTCTGAATATTTGCAACAAATTCTATTGAACCTCTAATGAGCAATTTACCAACTTTGGATTAAAATGATCTAAATTAAAATGTCCAAGTAAACTATAATTTGCTACTTATTTGACATGAAAATTGTGGAAAGATGAAGACTGGTAGGTTTTCTCTCACATCAGCAATTAGATGAAATTTTTTCTTCACAGTTGTACAGCTAAGCCTGCATTCATCAGAACCCCCTTCTAAAGCAAAGCATTGGGGATGATGGTAGGTAACAAAGACTACAAAGCATACTCCACTATTTGCCAAAATTAACACCAGTACACCACAGCTTAAGATCTTGAACTTGGAAAATCTCCTCTTTTTTTTTTTTTTTTTTTTTTTTTTTTGAAATGAGGTTCTTCATTACTTGAGCATACAGATAAAGAAAACAAAGTTATGTCTATAAAGATATACCAAGTCTCTTGCTGTCTGGAACAATTCTCTGACATTGGATGCACTTTGCCCAACCCAGAGTCCAGCTTCCAACTGCTGTGCTTTCACCTCAACAAGAGGCACCCTGGCTTCAGCAGCAATAGCTAGTGCCAGGGAGGTTTTTCCAGTCCCCCTCTCACCAACTATAAGAACACCCTGCAAGTAACAAGATATCAGTTCGATAGCAAATAAGCTTGCCAAAGCTGGTAAATCATGAAAAAAAACGAATAGCACAAATTATATTGTAAATTATTCAGAATCAAAAAGCTCGTTTTTAGTGGGACAGAGGAAATACGGAATATTGTTCTCTTAGTAAAATGCTTAGAATAAATAAAATTAAATTACGTTGAAGTCATCGTTAAAACTTTTTGCTTCATAAATTCAAAAGAATAGCCAGATCTTGAAAAACTAAAATCTAAATTTAATCAAACTCAATATGGACAGGACCCTACCGAATTAGACCAAATTTGAACCAGAACCAATCTGATGCATATCCAACCCGAAAGTGAGCCCGATTCATACCTAATTCGAACTTATTTTTGGTGACTGATGCTTGCCGATTGGTCTCATGTCATGGTCAGTAGTTGTGGGCTTGTGGCAGTAACGAAATGACTTTTCGGTTGGTTGGTGACTTGGTGCCTCGGAGGGTTTGTATTAATGGAGGTGTTGAAGGCATTGGATCTGTGGAAAAGGTTGTGGAGGTGGAGATTTAAGTAATAATGAGGTTGGGAGTTAGTGGCTGTTTGTGGCTCTTGTGGGTGTGGCATATCAGGATCTGGAGCTGTTAGGGCTTGTGGCGGCTGGTGCTGTGGTGAGGTTGTCATGGGTTGTTGGTCAATGATGGTCATATAGTGTATATGACTATATGTGGCGTTAGTCAAAATAGGTCCCAAGGGAGGTTAAAAAATCATGACAGAGGGCTTTTAGGGAACTCCAAAAAGGAAAAGGGGAAAAAGGAAAATTAAAAATAAGAGAATGGCCAACCAAACATCATTTGAGGGAATTAGGAGTGTTGCTTTCAATTTAAACCCCTGACCTAACAGCCCCCAAGAGCTTTTCATGGAGCTGATAGGTCCCCAAAGTCATTCACAGTTTTTTTGGAATTAGTAATATTTGTTGTTCTCTGTTTCTGGAAAGAGTTACTTTCAGCCTATTGTTTGAATGTGATACCATCTATTATAAACATGATGTGGTTCCCAACAGAAACCCTTCCCAGATAACAATCTACTGATATTTTGGATAAAAACTTCTAAGTGCTTGGTTAGTCACACCATCTCAAGCCACATAAGAGAGCACAGTTAGTTCAGAATTTTTTTTATTATCTGTTCTATTATGTTTCTCCAATTGTAGCTGGTTTCAGAGTTATATACAAAACAGAATTATTACTTAGTTTTCTATAGCAAAGATCTCAGTATAACAATCACCAAAAACAACAAACTTTTCTGTAAAGTCAATTCTTAAGAACATACCCGAGGTGCACGAGCTCCCAGCTTCTGGAATGCACTTGGATTTTGTAAAAAAGCCACAACTTCATTAATCTCCTCCCTCATAGAATCCACACTTGCAAAATCTCTCAGTGGTATTGGTGGATTTTTTACTCTCTAAAGAACAGAGAGCCATCAGTATCCAACTACTAGTAATTTGAAAATAAACCCAGCAATCAGCATACAAGCTTTTACCTTCATACTATCAAACACTGTTCTGATTGGATCAACCCCAGCTCTCCTTTTTCTTAATATTCTCCGCCTCTTATATTTCACGTACCTTTGCTACAATAAACACCCAATACATCACAATTATTTATACATAAAAAACAACTGAAAAGAGGGCAGTAAAAAAAGCAGAAGATAATTGCTTTAAGGCATTCAAATCAGAGAGAGAGAGAGAGAGAGAGAGAGAGAGAGAGAGAGAGAACACAAAAGACAATTGATGTAAGACATTTAAATCAGAGAGAGAGAGACAAAATGCAGAAGACAATTGCGGGGGAGGAAAAGATAAGACTTAACTCACCTTTTCAGTGAAAGTAAATGATATCATACAATAAGTAAAGGGTCTAAAAAACAAGAGGTGTTGAAATCAGTCCACATACTACTTTCAGCACATAAGCAAGAAACAAATATCTGTTAAAATATTTTTTATCTAGGCTAGTATAGGAAATAATAGTAGTAAAGTGTATTTAAACTAAATCTTCTTGCAATATATGTACAAAGACTAACCATGACACTGCAAATTATTGGTTTAAAAGAAAGCCAAAATGTTGGGAGTGCAAAAGGTTTAGTCATATAGGAAAGAATTGCAAGTTCAAAAAAATAAAATGTTGGGAGCACTTGAAATTTCTATTGCAAGCAAATAGGATTATGTGATAACAACCTGTTATACTATGGTATTAAGAAGTAAAGAACTAACATCTTAAGTTGTATATCGGGTGGCAGTTACAATAACTATAACTAGAGGATAGATCATTACAAAGTTGAAGCTGAAGACATACCAATCTCCCAAGCTTCCGAAAATTTGGATCTCGGCGGTAAGGCCCATAACCAAGTATTCTAGGGAGCTTTTTCCTCATAAACTGGAATGTATGATACAGCACAAATCCATATATAGCACTTCTGATGAGAAAGAAAAAGTAATAACGGAGCGTATTTGATTTTCTTGATTTGAAACTATACTCTGCTTCAGATTGCAATTCCAAATACCATGTTGATCCAATAGTCTCATCGTATTCCTCAGGCCAAGCCATTCCCAACCTTATCCTCAACTACAGAGTGGAAACAATCTGGAATGACTTCAAAGAATAAATGAATAAAATAATAACTTAAACAGACAAAAAAAAATGCAAAAAACAAGTACCGGATAAGGTATTAGGAACTCCACAATCGGAAACACAAACACCATCAGCACGTCATCATTGATATATTTTATTTCGTCCAACAACAACTCTCTCCCACGAGAGACATATTGGTTGTTCCATATGCCATTAAATAATTGATGAGACAGTCTTGCCACCAAAAGAGCTTGCTGATAGATATTCAACTCTGACAGTGGAATCCACATAACGTGTACAGCAGTCGGGACACCAGATGCAAGCATTTTGAGATACAATTCATCAAACCCTCCAAGATCTTTGAAAATAAGTTCATATTCCTGTAATAAAAAGTTCTAGTAAGAAACACCAAAAATCATACCCACAAAAGATTAACTGTTGTTTACAAAGTATGACCTTTAAGTCGACATAATATTCCTTGTCTTCCTCCCCTTTTAGTCCAATGTACATGGCACCCCAATCGTGCCTTATTCGAGCATACTGCACAAGGTTCTTGGAGACAGCACATGGAACTGCAATGGACTCCATTTCCCACCGATTCTTCTCCTCATTGTAAAATGTCTTCGATACCACTCTATCGCGATCCAATATAATGCGCTCCTGGGAAATATATGTAAGCAAAACCTTCAGCAGACTATAATTCTAAGAATCACAAAATATTTCTTTCCAAGCACGTGATATATCTTCCGGCATAAAAATGCACAGCCTTATACACATTCATGCATGAATTACTCAAATATGTCAATTACTTGACAAGTGTGGACTCAGAGCATGCTTTACAACAAAGAGTATGCACAGGAAATTACCTGTCTCTTAGACACATATTGTTTACCAAGATCAACATCCTCCAATACACTTTTTTTTAACTTTGCTTTTGCATCTTCACGCCATCTCTTCCATCCATGATATAAGTGGATGCTTACAGCCTTAGGGACCGTGACCTCTTTACTGCCAAACATCCATTTCAATTCAACTTCTGGAAAACCTTTCACAATCTCATCCTCTGAAGTATTCACTAGAATACGCTTTTCCTCCCCGTGTTTTCTCATATCTTTTCGAACACGAGCCTCTAGTTCTTTTTGCAGATTCTTGGATTCTTCAAGGGCTTGCTTTACACGCAGAGCAAAGTTTGTTAGCTCCCCTTCAAAGAGTGGCCCAAGTGCATCATCAAAATCCACCACGCCAGGCAATACCATCTGTTTTAAGTGTTCTCTTTGAGCAGCTTCTAAGCCTTTCTGTATATCATTCCTAGAATATGCTACAGAAGGCATTTCACGTGGACTGCAATGATACAACCATAATAGTGTTAGATAAAACAAAGTTGCTTAAAAAAATTATGATGGCTTCATACTTACAGGAATGACTGCAACAGAGAAATTAAAATACAAGCACAAGCAGCCAGGTTTTAACATCAAAACTCGGCAAATGAGGCACATTTGTTCTTAACATTCACCATTCGTTGTGTCCTTACCCATGAATTTAAATGGAAAAAAGACTCATGTAGCACAAATTGAACTAGCATTAGCTTTAATAGGAAAGCCATGAATGACCATACTACTTCAAATTTATTACTCCTTTGCTAGATGTAAGATTTAGAAACTATATAGTATGAATTAAAAGGACCAGCAGTCTACTGAGAAGGGAATCTATGGGCAACATCTGGGTGCATTTGTCAAAAGCAAGGCACAAAATTACTTAATCACGTAAAATATTACTATGTTCTTTTCCAACTACTAAATCTGCACTCAACATAAACAACAATCAAGAAGCCGCCGCTCAATGGGAAAATAGATGACTTAGGCCCTGTTTGATTCACCTTAAAAAAATAATATTAAGTAAAATTAATTTCAGTTCAGTAAAATTAATTTCAGTTCAGTAAAAATAATTTCAGTTTAGTAAAAATAATTTCAGTTCAGCAAAATTAAGGTGAATCAAACAGGGCCTTACATAGATGAGAAGATATGGAGAGAAAGGGGGGGGAAAGGGAACAACCGGGGGGGGGGAGGGGGGGTTGAGCAGAACATAGCAGTGAAAGCTTCTCCATTAGACATCCGGATTTGCAATCAGTCACTACTCCCTATAATCAGTTCTATCCATACATCCAAGGCTTCCAAACAAAAGATTTTTCTATAACCTCCCCCCCCCCCCCCTCCCAAACCATCACCATCCCCAAAAAAAGGGAGAAGATGCAGCGTCATAAATAGTAGATAATTTGTAAGGCCAAGGGAAGAAAACGAAGATTGGTTACTCCCATACATAATACACTTCTCTCTGAGTTGCTTATGAACCATTTTGTTCCCTTATGAAACGTCTTTACAGGGAATCACTTGTTTGCCCCATATGCAACAGTATATGCAGTATGTAATCAAATAAAGCCTCTTCTGTGACGTAGTTACAGACCATTATGTTACCACCATTATAATAGTTTATTAAGGACTTATACATGCTGATATGATTGCAAATCTCACATACAAGAGGACTAGCACTAGGCTCATATTTAAGCTACATTGAATGTTCAAAACCTCTAATATCTTCAAAAAAAAAAAGAGAGAGGTGTTAGAGAACACATCTTCAAACATTATCTACAAGAATTTGTTCCAAAAATCTTGGAATTGCAATGATGAACAGAATTCTCTAAACTGTCAATTCACGCAGTTATTGAAGTCCAATGTAACTGAAAACTGATCCATCTCATGGTACTAATCAATAATAATATACAGTTTATATATCACATTAAAACTTATAATTAGCATACTTTAACTGTAAAAAGCAATAATCAATAGCAAAATTCACCAATTTACCTTGCATTTCGCCTAATGTCGAGAATAAATTTCTTCACCAAGAGCTCACATTCCTTCTCAACAAATGAAAGCTCCCTCACACCGATACTAAACACCATTGTTTCCCTTCGCGATATCTTATCCTCAATCTCCCCAATCCTCTTCTGCAGCTCATTGTACTTCTTCTCACCCCTATCCAACTCCTCCACCAACTTATCTATCCTCTCTCTCACCTCCTCATCGCCGCGACTATCCTTCAACTCAATCAATAATTTATCCTGCTCCCTTTTAGCCCTCAACACCTTAATAAGTATCTTGTCAGCCCTATTAACCAGCCCTTCCTTCTCACTCTTAAGAACTCTCAAATCGGCGTAAAGTGCACTCATTATCTCACCTTTTAGCTCATTTTTCTTTGATTTAACCCCCTTCAAAGCAACCTCTAAATCCTCTATTCTACTCTCCCCTTCCCTAACCTCCTTCATCACCTTCAACACACCTGAAACACTCTCTAACAACCTCTGTGTATAACCCGAAAACTCGTGCTCCTTCCATGAAACCAATGTAGGCTCTTCCTTCACAATCTTCCCCTTCTTCCCCCACAACAAACTACTAATCACAGGCAAAGCAATAGCATTAGGTTGATGCCCACGAATTGGGCACATCCCAATCACAATCCATAACAATGTAAACACAACTGACTTTGAAATACAGCTAAACAAACCATCTTTCACCTCAATTTTATCACAATTACTCGAACTTACACTAGAATTAACCACTTGGGAAGCTTCAAAATTACTGGAGAAGCAAACCCCAGATGAATTCTTCCTAAAAAAGAGGATTGAACGACATGGGTATTGATTTTTTGCTACAATTTTGGTGGAAGAAGTTCGAAATTTTCGTTTATGGGGGTGGTGAGTGAAATGGGGGAGAGTGTGATGTGGGATTGAATGAAGAGGAATAACAATGGAGTTTGAAGAAGGTGGGCATGTTGAAAACATATGGAAATGGAGAATTTTAGTGGAAAAATCGGGAGAATTAGAAAAAAAAAAAATTGAGAGAAAAGGTCAAGATTTCATGGAGATTATTGAGGTTTTGAGGGGATTTTGCAGTGTTTGTGAAAGAGTGAAGAAGTGTGGAGTAATTTGGGGAAGGATGACAGATACTGCATACTGGGGTTTATCGGAAAAGGGTCTGGGGTTGGGTTCAAAGTGATTGTGATGGTGCCGAGGATAGGTTCGCAAAACTTAGCCGGTGGGTTTGGCGATATAGGTCAGGTTGATTTGTATTCGGGTTGCGATTAACTTGAGAGGTGAACTGTTGTGTTCAAGACCCAATATCAATACTAGAAGGATAGCTTCTAGAATAAGACAATCAATTAGTAGCTAGAATAAGAAAGAAATAACTAGATTGTAGAATAAGCCAAGAAAGGTGATGCATAGAATAAGACAAGTTATATGTATGTGTTATAAATCATAGCATACAACTTGTATAAATAGTACAAGTAAAAGGGGAGTTAAGCTAAAATACGGTCCCTCAACTTTAGCATTTGTACCATTTTGGCCCCTCATCTTTCAAACGAAGCAAATTGGTCCCTTAACCACCCATAACTTACTTTTCCGGTGGAAAAAAGATGAGTCACCAAAGTTTAAGGACCAAAGTGTCCATGTGACAAAAAATAAAAAAATATTTTAAAAAAAGTTTAGGGACCTATCCTAGTAAGCAAAAGTTTAGGGACCATTATTCATTAATTTTTTTTATTATTTTTTGTCAATTTTTATTTAAAAGGAATCTTTTAACTGATATTAATTTTTTTTCATCAACATTAATATTTTGGTTATGAGTTTCATTAATAAAACTATTGAATTTCCGAAAAAAAAAAAAACCCTATAGGATTTTCCACCTTTTCTCACCCCCACATCACCAACAACCTGCCACAAACACACAACCCCATCTCCACCAGTCTGCAGCCTCACCACCGCGATTAATCAACCACGCAACCCAAACCTCCGGTTCGGCCGAACTATATTGCACATGAGCTTGTATATAATTAATAAAATCAGGAGGCCAAGATTAAATCACAAAATAAATCAAAGGCTGGAATTAAAAGATGGTAATTGCTGATGATCGTTAATGAGGTGCAAAGTAGGGAATTGTTTCCCCTATTAGAATAGCCAAATCGAAAGAGAATATGAGAGGGCTGATATATATATATATATATATATATATATATTCTTCTTTCCCTATTCCCTTCTTTCTTTATTTTTCCTTTTCCTATTTCTTTAATTTGAAGTATTTAATTTTTTTTTTTGAAAGAAAGTCGGAGTATTTAATTTTTTTAAGTCATATTTAATTTTCTTCTTTAATTATTAAGTCATATATATATATATTTTTTTAAAAAGTCATTAATATTTTAAAAAAAAAAAAAAAAAATGGGTATGTTTTCTTTCATTTTAATCAAAGTTTGTACATAGTAAATAATAAATATTAGTAGCTGACAAAAAAAAAATAATAACAATAATGATTTATAATCCCTAAACAAATGCTAACTAGGATAAGTCCCTTAACTTTTGCTTAGTTGGCACCACACATCCCCAAACTTTGCTGACTCATAAGTTCCTCCACCATAAATGGTGTGGCAAGGGTGGTAGAGGGACCAATTTGCCTCATTCGAAAGATGAGGGACCAAATATGCAACTCATGCCATAGTTCAGGGACCGTATTTTAGCTTATCTCAGTAAAAAGGAGAGGATGTACTCTAAGGTTTTAAGTGAAAACACAAGAGAGTGAATAGTTGTAAGTAGTTGAGTGTAAATATTAAAGAACTTGTGAGCTCATTAAAAAAGATTTGTACATGTGGTTTAGAAATACAATTTTTAATTTGTTTGTTTTTAATCCCAAATTTCTAAGATGAATAGGTTGAAATATTTTGACATTAGTACATCATCACAATATCTATACAAGGTATTTAACACGTAATAATTGAAATAAAAAATGAAAAGTTAACCACCATTATTTGAAATTATAATAACAATAAACAATAACATCTTCTCTTATCTAAATTTATTGTTAAAATTATATGGAGTATTAATATAAGCTGTTTTTTTCGATGTCATCAAATTTTCTCTTCTAGATAAATATTACAAACAATTATTTGGGCATCGCCCAAGACACTCAGTAATTACTAGTTAGTGCCTAAATCAATATTGTACTATGAAGTATTTGCAAAAATGATTTTTTGTCTACTACCTTGATTACTTTATTCAAATTAATTAGGGGAATAATGAATTCTAAATTTATTTGAAATAACTAGTGAAAAAAAAAAAACTATGTTTTTATATAGCTTAATCTCTTCGTACAGGAAATGGAGCGGCAAAAAGAACATGTTTTCACCCCCTCCCATCTCTAATATAAGATTTTATAATTGATCGGCTAACACAATTGACTAGAGAATGAAAAGTAAAACGCTGATTTCACATGTCTTACATGTTACATAGAGGCATATAACTTCAAATGAAAATTAAAATATAAGGAGTAATTGTTTCAATTAAAATATAAGTAATACACTCTTAACACTTCTTTTAATAAAAAAACTAGTGTGTGGCCCGAGCGATGCTCCGGGTTATTTTTTTTAACACTTGTAATTAAATAAATAGGTAAAATAAGTTCATTGTTTATTATTTATTTATTCATTATTTGTATGCTTCGGGTTATTTTTTTTAACACTTGTAATTGAATAGATAGGTTCATTGTTTATTATTTATTTATTCATTATTTGTATACTCGGGTTATTTTTTTAACACTTGTAATTGAATATATAGGTTCATTGTTTATTATTTATTTATTCATTATTTGTATGCTCCGGGTTATTTTTTTTAACACTTGTAATTGAATAGATAGGTTCATTGTTTATTATTTATTTATTCATTATTTGTATGATCCGGGTTATTTTTTCTTAACACTTGTAATTGAATAGATAGGTTCATTCTTTATTATTTATTTATTCATTACCTGTATATAATTTACAAAGTTTCTCATTAAAACTCTGAATAAATTATTTATGGAAGAACTATTGACTAATTATATAAACATGTTCTTGTAAAAAAAATTATATAAACATATTTTTGTATATAATTTATAATATAATGAAAATATAGACATAATTATTACCAAAATATTAAATAACTAAAATTTATAACAATAGCTAATTTTTCTTGCTTGTATGTATTATCTCGATGATCATAATTAGCAAATAGTAGGATTATTTTTATTTTTTTTTTGTAAGAATTGCAGTTATCAAATGTTCAAATCTCCATCCAACCCATATACTTATATATTTATGAGTCGAGTATTAAAACATTATTAATATATGGATGAGATGGTAAGACATTTAATGCATATTTTTGTGGTTGTGAGTTCGAATCTAGGGGACGTTTGGTTCGCGGAATATAGGTATGAGGTATGGGTTTAAAATGACTAAAACCCATATCATATGTTTGGTCGTCAAAAGTATGAATTTTAAGCTCATGCCTCAAACTCATGAGATATGGAGTTTAGAACCCTTGAGGGGGAGGTGGAGTTTGACTAATTCAATTCCATTAGGTATCAAATAAAAAGGAGAGAATAATGAGATGTTCCATTCCAGAATTAAACCAAACACAGAGTATTAATTATCAAGTTCCAATCCGATACCACCTTAACCCCATTTTTTATTCCAACCCCATACCAATTTGCAAACCAACCGCCCCCTAATTATTTTTATATATGCCAATGACAAAATGGGTTCCTTTTTTTATGTAGTAACTAGACGATATATACAAATTCACCATGATTAATTTAGGGCTCGTTGGTAATTAGCTATGGTAGTTGGTTGTATCAATCAAATTGCATTAGAGAGATGGTTTGACTAAATATTTAAATTGTCTATTTTACTAAAGACGAAAAATATCTTAATTGATTAAACTCTTCTTACAAAAAGTTAATATGTTGAATAAAATTTTCAAATTAGATTATTGAATTCCAATAATTCTACAAATCATTTACCTTTCAAAAAAGCTACTTATATGGTCAAATTATTGTTTTATTTTGGTTTACTTAGCCGCATGTCAAATGGGATGATAATGTCATTGTCCATCATCTTAATAAGACAATTCCATTTGGAGTAGAACAAATGTATAAGAATATGAATATCATTGTTCCACATAGATAACTTTATTTTACCGTGGTTAGTAAACTATGAGTAATATAATGCTTTTTGAAAAGAAAAAAAAAAATCTCTTTGTTAAAAAGGTAATTCTATACATAACTGTTGGGTTGTATCTTCCTATTTTGAGGTTAACGATTCAATCCCCACTGGAGGCACTTGGGGTGGGGATTCCCTTATTCTCCCCCCTCACTCCCAAAGTGCCTAGCCCGCTAACCCGGGCCGGAAGGACCTATGTGAGGTTTCGGTCTAGTAAGACCCTTCTCCTTACCAACATTAAAAAAAAAAAAATAGCCTTTGGGGCTATATATAAACATTAAATACACTCTTGAAAATTGTATAAAATTAGGAATTCATGACAAAACACACGCGTAAATCAGTGTGATTAGTGTGTTTTGATGGTCATAATTTCCTAAATTCAAATAATTTTCTAAAATACATTTATTGTTTATATGTAACCCTAAGGGCTATGTAAGCTAGTAAAAGGTAAGGAGTACAATAAATTGTTACAAAATTGACCAAGTCAATCTCGAGTCTAATTGAATTTGACCAACTTATTATTATTTTTTTGCTAGAGACTAGATTTTTTTTTTCTTTCTTTTTTTTGAAGAGCTCCAAGAGCTTAATGTAGATAAATAAAGCAGCCAACATCAAGTTCGGCAAGGGAAGCAACACCTTGCGGGAAGCTATCAACATACAAATGCTCAAAACCATCATGTGGGAGTTGCCTTGCCAAAAGGTGAGCAACACAGTTTCCCACTCTCTTAATATGAAAACAAGGCAAAACTTTCAAAATCCATACTAATAGAGCAAATATCATCAACGACGAGGTCCACAGGTGCTTTGCCATTCTTCTCTGATCTTATCAGGTTGGTCATAGTGAGGGCATCCGATTCCAGCTCCACTCTTTTATACCCAAGCTCACAAGCGATTTGCACACCCATTCTTGTTTCCATTGCTTTAAAAACTTTAATTTCACATATGGTTTCCCCATAAATCGTTTCACTTTTGCAGCCACAATGACCCCTTGATCATTCCTTAAAACCGCACCAATACTGTAATACCCATATATTTTATGATTTAATAAAAAGATAAAATTTGAGTTGTA